TATATATATATATATATATATATATGTTTAATGTTTTAATTTGATTTTTATAAAACATAACACAAGGAGCAGAAGCAGAAGTAAGGGTCACAAGTCGTGACAGAGGACTAGATGTCGCACAAGCAGAAAAAAAGCCCAGTTGCAATTAGAAGTATATTGGCAGTAGGAGTCTCGATTTCCAAATATATAGAAGAAGATAAGCTATTTACGCTGGTTTCCAATTGAAATTGGGAATAAATAAAAGAAGATGCCCTGGTTTCCGATGGAAATTGGGAGTCGCGACAGACGCGGCTTTCCAATTGCAATTCCCGACAACTTCAAATTGCGATTGGAAGAAGATTTTGAAGCGACACTGTTTGGGCTTCTCACGATCGGCGATTCTAGGCGATCCTGCGTTTTCACGAGCCTAATTGCCGATCCAGACGATCCTATTGGATTTCGCGATTCTGCATCCGTCTCGGATCGGGAAGCTTCCCGCGATCCTCAGACTCGTAGACTCGTACGAGTCAACTCGCGAGTTTGACTACCATGCTTCCTTTGAACATTCTGCATAACAACTTGCAAGGTTTTGACTATAAAGAATACATTTTTTAGCAGTTTTTAAATTATGACCTGTTTTTTACGCCTTTGCAATCCTGTTTGCAACTGAAAAATGAGAGGTGTGCCATGTGATTTTTTAAATTTCAAGGCTATAAAGTAAGGAGTGAGTGTTGGACTCTGGTAAAGGTTAGGAGTGAGTGTTGGACTCTTGAAATCCATTATGCAAATGGGTTAGAATGGTTGGGTATACACAATTTTTTTCCCACGTTTCCTGAACCTAAAACAAGATAACTTACAATTTAACATCAATTTTTCAAAGTTGGGAGATTTAAAGTATTCTATGTTTCTTATGGATTTGAATTGCTTTGTTTTTTAGACTTGGATATAATGACCATATCACATTTAAAAATATTCAACTAGCATGTTTAGAGATGTGAAAAAAAATACAGTAGCAATTTCAAACTGCTCTTTAGAATGTATAAAATTCCAAGTTGTAAATTTTAAACTCTAAAGCATCTAAAGAATAGGACAATCTGGTTTATTCAAATATGAGAGCTGTACCATTTGATTTTTTAAATTTCGAGGCTATAAATTAAGGCGTGAGTGATGGACTCTTGAAATCCATTATGCAAATGGGTTACGATGGTTGGGTGTACACAATTCTTTTCCCAGATTTCGCAGTGAATGTATTTCCACGGACTCATTGTTTTATCATTAGTTTTTTATTAAATTGCTAATACTAAAACTGACAGAGTGTGCATACCTTTTATAAAAGTCTCATCCATATTCAGACCAATTAAATAACATGCCAACGTTAGGCTTCAATTCATCTTCACATTCAGGGGGTACGTCCCTCCAATGTGCTCATTGCATAACTTACATTTCTTGATTCTGTTGCCAAATCAATCCCAAAAACTGCTTAGAATTCTGTCCGATGTGCTACAGATTTTTGGACTCAAAATCTGCCCAGAATTCTTCCCTGGGCTACAAAAACTTTGCACAAACATCCATAAAGGTTTGCTCAGTCCCTCTAGTTCGTGTAAAGTTCAACCTTAAACTGCCCAAAATAAGACCCGAAATCCAAACCAAGAAACAAAATCGCAACCCAAACCCTAACGCAGAAACCGAAACTCTAACCCAAACCTAGAACTTAAGATTAAATAACCAGACCCATAATGGTGTGTATGTTCCATTACAAAAGAACCACTATTTGAACTCCATTTATCGGTTACAAAATCAAAAACCAGTCCTAAATGCAAAAGCCAAAGCCAAAACAGAAAGGTAAATTG